CTCTGGTAGCATAGAGCTAAGGCACTTGACTGCTAACCAGAAGGCTGGCGGTTCAAACCCACCAGCCACTCCTGGGAAGGAAAATGGGGCAATCTACTTCCCTAGTGATACTACCTCGGAAACCCAAGGAGGGGTCGCTATGAGTAGGGTCCAACTCAACGGCACATAACAACAACAGCAACATCTTCCACAGGCCTGTTAAGCTCCCTTGCCAACCTCACTGAGTTAAAGGTGTCAGCATAAACTCTGTGGGGGAGCACAAATAGATGTTGGCTGGGGGCCTGCTCGTTGGTAGAGTGTAAAGAGCTAAACTCTAAAATGCAAAGAACTCTGACGATTGCCTCATATGAAAAATGGATCTGTGGGAAACAAAATAAAAATCAGACCTATTTTAAGCCACAGAGAAACAAGGGGAGGGAAGGTATTTTTTATTTGTTTTTTAATGGTGGAGAAGCCCACTAGAAAATGACATTTTGAATATAAAGTATGTGGTAAAAAATAACATTAGATTCATTTTACTTGTTATTTATTCAATCATTCATTCCTTCAATAATATTTATTGAATCCTTCCTATGCCAGTCTTGAGGTACTGGTATACCATCAATGTAAAGAAAATATTTCTATATCATGACAAGAAGAAGATTTTGAAATTATTTGTTTATGTTGATTTCAATCTAAAGTGAGCCTGAGTTCTGAGATGACTGTTATTCTGCTTGTCAGAAATGATGTGAAGAGAGCTCCCAAAGCAAGAGCTATCAGGCATTAAGTTAGCTTCATGAAGAATCTCAGGGAGTGGGGAGATAATGGAAGAGATATATGCTGTTTGTTTAACCAGAAAGCTGACATTTGGTATTATGTTTTCAAATAATAGCAAGAAGTGCTTTAAATATGATGTGTTATAAACTGTTCTTTTTTTGCTTTCCTGTAATTGGAGCAACATACTAATTTCTACAAGTTGTGACTACTAACAGAGAGCAATCACCTCACAGACTTGTACCGAAGAGATGAAACCATCCAGGTGACAGGAAACGGCCATGTGCAGAGTCCTCGCTTCCCGAACAGCTACCCTCGGAACCTGCTTCTGACATGGAGGCTGCATTCCCAGGAGAAAACAAGGATACAGCTAGCATTTGACAATCAGTTTGGATTGGAGGAAGCAGAAAATGATATCTGTAGGTAAGTGGGGGAAATAAAAATTCAATCTTAGGGTACTCTTCCAAGGTATAAAAAAGATTAATTTAGAACACCCCATCAAACTTCCCTTTTGGGCCCTTTGGACCTACTGAGGAGCACCACCATTTTTTTCGGAGTCTTTATGGCAGCAACGGCAGACAAATGGCATCCTAAATAAAACTGGTGCACAGAATGTATTTGAAGATGGTCAGATAAATTGTCATGACTCAAAGAAACTCATGTCCAGGATTGTCAGAGCCAGACTGCATGACTTCAAAAGAAGGGAATCAATCCCTGTCTTTGTCACCTTCAGAGGAGCCTATATCCTGGGTCACCTCCAGTTGTCATGTGGCTTCACTGGGTTTGTAGCTGTTGTTAGCTGCCATCGAGTCAACCTCTACTTCAGGGAGGCCCCACACACAGGGAATGAAATGCCACTCAGTCCTATGCCACCCCCAAGATCAGTGACAGATTGCATCATCATGATCTATAGGGTTTCCACTGGCTGATTTTCTGGAGCAGGTCAAGCCTTTCTCCCTAGTTCATCTTGATCTGGAAACTCCACTGAAACCTATGCAGCTTCATAGAAAACACTCTATGGTTGAGTTTAAGGAGTAAAGGAGTATAAACCCCTGCTCACCTCCTGGAGCTGATCAGGGACACACAGTAATAGATAATACAGTAATGATTCCCTCCTTGGGAATGGAGGATGGTCAGGAACTGTGTCAGGGCTTTCCCCAAAATCACAGTTTTAAGACCTCAGATATGTGTGAAAAAGAAAGCAGACAACCCCAGTGCTTGTGTGTGCTCCTCAGAAGGTCTGTTGCTGCATGGTTTCTTGGCCAGCACAAGATGATAGCTGTGCCTGATAATCTTCTTCCTTCTTAGCATATTTATCAAAGAAAACCTGGGCTGTTGTTCTTGGAATTGTCCGCTCAGGGCATCTCATTCCCTTAATTAGCATGTATAAGACTTGGGGAGGATTTTTTTTCTCTCCTTTTTGTATTTTATGGCACGTACTTGTTTTGCATTGCCAATGAACTACTGAACTGCTAAATCCTTTCAGCAGGTTTATTTTCCTTTGAATAATAAAAAGAGGGTGCCGCAAATTTGGCTATCCTTTGTTGCATGTTTATTATGCTGACAGCTTTTATTATGTTGCTATTTTTCTGAAAATAACAGCAGTGACTATTACTTTCTAGGACCATAGAGGGTAATGTATGCCTGAAAGTAGAGCATAATACATGCAGGAAAAGCCAGTTAATATTTACAAAGAGAATAAACTAGAGCTGATCTGTGTCTTTCTAACCTTGAAAGGTAGAACTAATTTTCGGTGCTGGGGAAAAAAAAACGAGAGAGAGAGAGAGAGAGAGAGAGAGAGAGAGAGAGAGAGAGATTGTGAGGAAACAAAAAATTAATAATAATACTCTACTATAATATTGTTAAAGCTGATGACATGAAAGGGAAGCTACCAAATAAATAAATAAATAAATAAACCAAACTCACTGCCATCAAGTTGGATTCGACTCATAGTGACCCTTCTTTGGGTTTCCGAGGCAGTATTACTACGGAAGCAGAGTGCTCAACCTTTCTTCCGAAGAGTGGCTGGTGGGTTTGAACTGCCAGCCTTCTGGTTAGCAGTCAGATGCCTTAGGCACTACACCACCAGAGCTCCTGAAAGGGAAGCTTGTTGTTGTTGTTGTTGTTATGTGCCGTTGAGGGGACCCCTCCTTGGGTTTCTGAGGCAGTATCACTACGGAAGTAGATTGCCCCAGCTAGGGCTCCTTTATTGACCTGGGATTTTGATCCTGGTAGTGAGCCCTTCTGACATCCTATTGTTATTGTTGTTGGGAGCCACTGAGTTGATTCTGACTCAGCAAAATGCTTAAGTGCTCAACTACTAACGGAAAGATTGATAGGTTGAATCCACCTGGAGTTCCTTCAGATGAAAGGCCTGGTGAAGTACTTCCAAAAGGTCACAGCCTTTAAAAACCCCACGGACTATACAGTTCTACTCTGGAACACATGGCATTGCCATGAGTTAGAGTCAATTCTGTGGCAAATATTTTCATTTGTTTATTTGTTTTAGTGAGCCTTTTTGACATCCTAGACTAGAAAAACAGTAGAGAAGTCTTAAGTAGACCTCTCATCAAATCCAAATAGTCCTCAGAATTTATGAAGGGAGAGAGAGGAGTAAGATATGGGAAAAGAGGAGAAGAAGAAAAATAGATCAAAGAGGAGCTTCAGAACTCTACTTGAGAAACAAAATACTGCTCTCTGGACTTAAGAACCAGAGCTAAAATTACTCTGGCTTTGTGTGTTTTTAAACAACAATAACCTATTTGTGATCAACAAAGTTTCAATTGTATTCATGCTTTGTACAATAAATATGATTTATACATATTGTATATAAAATGAAATGCAATTGATTTTTGGAACCATCTGTTCCAAAGCCTCCTTGATATTTACATTGTAATATTTTATTGCTTGAATAATGATTCTTTGTTAGTGCTTTTCACCTTCCAAGCACCACATAAGCATTGAGTAATTAATTTACACAGCACCCAAGAGAGATCCAGCTGGTAAAATTATATAAACCTTCTTATTTTGCCCGGAAACTGAGGCAAAACACAAGGGGCTCGTAAATCATTGTCAGAGAAATCTAGTCACAATATCATTATTTTTCACCTGCTCCTTACATTACCCTGCCCAATCCAATAAGAGCCCTGAGGGACATGTGGTTAAGACCAATAAAACCATATTGATTTTCCTTCATATTCACAGGTGACATTTCTCATGCTAATTCCTCTTGATAACTGTGGTGGAAAAAAAAAAAATAAGGTGGACATGAACAGACTTCTCCCACTGACTCCTGCAATCCCCATCATTTGTGTTATGACGTTAGTATCTGAAGTTATTTTGGGTAGGGTAAAGTGGAGGAATGAGATACAGGCTGAAACTGAAGGGCGATAATTCTACTCATTGATTAGAAGGTTTCAAGGTCTTAAGGGTCTGAAAATGGAATAAAATTGTGTTGTTTTTGTTAGGGGCTGTCAAGTCAGTTCTAACTCATAGCAACCCTATTTACCACAGAATAAAACACTACTTCATCCTGTGCTATTCTCATGGTGGTCACTGTGTTTGAGATCATTGTTGCAGCCAGGGTGTCAATCCATCTCACTGAGGATTCCTCATTTTCACTAATCTTCTACTTTACCAATAATGATGTCCTTCTCTTGATAGCATGTCCAAAATCTGTGAGAGAAAGCCTCACCATCCTTGCTTCAAAATAGCATTCTTGCTGTACATCTTTCCTTTGAATTGTCTATTTTTCTGGAAGTCCGTGGTGTATTAAACATTCTCTGCCAATACCATAATTCATATGCATAAATTTTTCTCAGGTCTTCTTTATTCATCCTCTAGCTTTCACAGGTATATAAGGCTATTGAAAATACCATGGCTTGGGTCCATGCACCTTAGTCCTCAAAGTGATATCTTAGCTTTATAACACTTTAAAGAGTTCTTTTGCAGCAGATTTGCCCAGAGCAATATGTCATTTGATTTCTTGACTGCTTCTTCCAGGGATGTTGATTCTAGATACAAGTAAAATAAAATTCTTGCCCACTTCAAATTTTGCTCCATTTATCAGAATGCTGCTTATGGATCCAGTTGAGAGGATTTTTGTTTATGTTGAAGTGTAATCCATACTGAAAGCTGTAATTTTTGATCTTCATGAGGAAGTGCTTCAAATCCTCTTAACTTTGAGCAAGCAAGGTTGTGTCATCTGCGTGTCACAGACTGTTAATGAGTCTTCCTCCAAACTTGATGCTGTGTTCTTTTTAATATTGTCCAGCTTCTCGTATTATTTGCTCAGCATACAGATTAGATGTTGTTGTTGTTGTTAAGTGCCGTCGAGTCGTTTCCGACTCATAGCGACCCCATGCACAGCAGAATGAAACACTGCCCGATCCCGCGCCAGCCCCACAATCCCTGCTATACTTGAGCCCATCCTCGCAGCCACCGTATCAATCCATCTCCTTGAAGGCCTCCCCCTCTTTCGTCGACCCTCCACCCTACCAAGCATGACATCCTTCTCCAGGGAATGGTCCCTTCTGACAACATGACCAAAATAGGTGAGACAAAGTCTGGCCATTCTTGCTTCCAAGGACCATTCTGGCTGCACTTCCTCCAGGACAGATCTGTTAGTTCTTTTAGCAGTCCAGGGTACTTTCAGCATTCTTCACCAGCACCACAACCCAAAAGCATCAACTCTTCTTCGGTCTTCCTTATTCATTGTCCAGCTCTCACATGCATACGAGGCGATGGAAATATCATGGCTTGTGTCAGGCACACCTTAGTCCTCAAGGAGATATCCTTGCTCCTCAGCACTTGAAACAGTTCCTTCGCAGTTGACTTCCCCAATGCTACACGTCGTCTAATGTCCTGACTGCTGCTTCTGTTGGCATCAATTGTAGAACCAAGCAACGTGAATTCCTTGACAACCTCAATCTTCTCTCCATTGATTGTGATGCTGCTCATTGGTCCAGTTGTGAGGATTTTTGTTTTCTTTATGTTGAGATGTAATCCATACTGCAGACTGTATTCTTCAACCTTCATCAGTAGGTGCCTTAAGTCATCCTCACTTTCAGCAAGCAAAGTTGTATCGTCTGCATATCTCAGGTTGTTAATGATTCTTCCTCCAATCCTGATACCACGTTTTTCTTCATCTAGTCCAGCTTCTCGGATTATTTGCTCAGCATATAGATTGAATAAGTGTGGAGAAAGAATACAACCCTGACACACTCCCTTCTTGATTTTAAACCATGTAGTGTCCCCTTGTTCTGTTCGAACAACAGCCTCCTGATCAAGGTACAGATTCCTCATGAGTACAATCAAGTGCTCGGGAATTCCCATTCTTCTCAATGTTATCCATAATTTGTCATGATCCACACAATCAAATCCTTTGCATAGTCAATAAAACACAAGTCAACATCTTTCTGGTATTCTTTGCCTTGAGCCAAGATCCATCTGACAACAGCTATGATATCCCTTGTTCCACGTCCTCTTCTGAATCCGGCTTGAACCTCTGGAAGTTCTCTATCAATATACTGCTGCAAACGTTTCTGAATTATCTTCAGTTAGATCTTACTTGCATGTGATATTAATGATATTGTTCTATAATTTCTACATTCTGTGGGATCACCTTTCTTTGGAATGGGCACAAATATGGATCTCTCCCAGTCAGATTGAATAAGTATGCTGAAATGATACAACCTTGATGCATACCTTTCTTGATTTTTAACTACACTGTATCCCCTTTTTTCTGTCCAAATGATTGCCTCTTCATCTAGGTATAGATTCCACATGAGCACAATTACATGTTCTGAAATTCCCATTCTTTGCATTGTTATCCATAATTTGTCATGATCCACACACTTGAATGCCTTTGCATAGTCAATAAAACACAGGTAAACATCTTTCTCGTATTCTCTGCTTTCAGCCAAAATCTCTAGAAAATGTGAACAGTGTCACTGAAGATGCTCTACTGTGTTATGGAATGATGGGATAGCAAGGAAGGGCTTCAACACACAAATGCTTGTATGAAATATCTATAAAGGAATTTCTTATCTTCTTCAATACTGGGATTTTATGTTTCTCTAACTAATGTAAAGTGAAGCTATAGTTTTAAGCTCATTCACACTCTTTTTAAACAGTTGACATTTCTAATATTGGCTAACATAAAGCACTTCTGAAAGTTATATACTTTCCACCATGATAAATATCATGTTTTATGATGTGATCATTCTGAAAGACATAGTGTCTCAAATAAAAAGATAGCCCATCATGTCAATGTCCATGAATTTTCTGTAATGACAGTGCGATTCTATAGGATATATAAATACAAAAATAAATGCTTTCCTTTCTCAGTAGAGTACTTAAATATGGTAAATTATTTCATTCCAAGTAGGAATTTGTTTGAAAAACTTTATGTAGTAAACACTTGGGCATGCAACTAGAACTCTATCTCCTGAAATATGCCAACAGTTTATGATGATTATTTTTTTCCAAGAAAATTTTATAAGCCAGATGCTTAGGAAGTAGCCCATTTCAATTGTTGATGATTTGGGAACAATCATGGCTCAATGAGTAAAAGGGTTCCATCTGTCCAAATAAATTATCGAACTTTGAGTTTGGAAAACCTAGCTTCCCTTTTAATATTTATATAGATTATGATTTTCATTTCAGTTAGCAGGTCAGGAGAAATCATGCTTGTTAGTTTAAATTTCTTGGTGAAAGTATGGATGTTAAAGTTTAATGTAATGAAAACATGTTCATTTATGTGAAATTGATTTCAGGTATGATTTTGTGGAAGTTGAAGATATATCTGAAACCAGTACTGTTATAAGAGGACGATGGTGTGGACACAAGGAAGTTCCTCCAAGGATAACATCAAGAACAAACCAAATTAAAATAACATTCAAGTCTGATGATTACTTTGTGGCTAAACCTGGATTCAAGATTTATTATTCTTTTGTGGTAAGTAGCTTAATCAACCTATGATTAAAAGCAGACCTTGGTTTGATTAAGTATAATGATCATTTTCTATAGTTAAATACATCGGTGTGAGAATAAATGAACCTTATTTTACTCCTTGTTTTGATGAGTTTTAAAGTTAAAGGAAAAGATTGCTCTTTGATATGAAAAGTCATCTATGAAATTCCAGTCACTGAACAGAGACTTGATGAGTTTAGTTTAAATTATGACCCAAACATGGGAAAGATCTCTATTATAATCATAGAGCATCAGGGTTGGCAAGCATCTTGAGATCATAAGGTCCAACTCAGGACCCAGAGTTTGAATCTTGTACTCATGCTTACGAGCTCTGGTAGCGTAGTGCCTAAAGCACTTGACTGCTACCCAGAAGGCCTGTGGTTCAAACGCACCAGCCACTCCTCAGAAGGAAGATGGGGCAATCTACTTCCATAGTGATATTGCCTCAGAAACCCCAGGTCCGACTCGACGACACATAACAACAACAACAACAGCAGCCTTTTCTAACTTTAAATGATTCTGGCTGTTAGAAAGCTCCAACCTCATACTGAATCAAAATCTATTGTACAGTAAATTCTAATTGCTGGGTCACACATAGTCATACATCTTCTTTACTCATTCATCCAATAGTGAAACATAACAAGTTCTAGTTTTCTTGTCAAACTCTCTGATAGCTGCAGCAGATACAAAAGTAAATGAGACAGACAGGGCCCTTGAATCGCATGGAGCTTATAGTCTGATAAACATGAAAAACAATTAAAATGAGATAACAGCAGAAAATGATGAGTGATAAGACAGGAGAACTACTATGTGCTATAGGTTAAGCCCAGAGAGACATTGGGTAATTTTCTCTATAAATTATCTTAAATATTCCTAAATCCTATAGCCATTCACAGGATATTACTTTTTGTTCTGCCAGTAACTTCACACTTAATATCTCTCAATATATTTGTCTGTATTTCTTCAAGATGTGTATGTCAAAAAGGAACCCAGTAGTCTAAATGGCATTATTTAGACTTTGTTTTGTTTTGGTTATTTTCTTCTTAGGAATTAAATTTCAACTAGGAAAAAAACTTTCTTTTCTTTTTTTTTTTTTTTTTTCGTCTCTCATTATGATGAGTTATTAAACAGTAAGTAAATTCTACATCAGAACATTGTAAATGAAAAAAAAAACAAAACAGCATATAGTGACATTGGTTCCAGTTTTACTTTGAAAATAATCCATCAAGCATGATTAACATTATTCCAAACTCATGTAATGCTGCTTAGCATTGAAATGAAAATGTGAGCCTTCAGTTTCCACCTTTGTTCACTGTTTCAGGTGTTCTGTCATGCATCTATCCCTAGTTATTTCTGGACAAAGCAGGCTTGGCATATGAGAATGGTTTTGGATAGGCTTAGAGAAGAATCTCTTTTTATGTTGAAATATCAAGTGGTATTAGACCTGGTATGTATATATTCTGTGAAGCTATGCTCATGACTTAGTTCAGTGGTCCATAAGTTAAGCAGACACACTCAAACACAGTATCTTTAAGGCAAAAGAGCTCCTTTGGCAGGCAGCAGTAAAACTATGAGTTAGAGAGGAATTAATACTCCTGTTTGAGGTATTTTGGGTGATGGTGCAAGCTTATCTTTCATTTCCTAGCCCATGTGAAGTGGAATATTGGACAGCCTCTGTAGTTTGGATTGTGAACTATCTGACACCACTCCATGCCCTCCCTCACTCACTCATTCATTCATCTCCATCAGTACATTCAATTGTGCTTTTTAGAAATGACAGTTATATATATATATATTTATGTATATGCCTACTAGCTTCTTGACTTGCATTCCTCAAGAATAGCTCCAGGCTCTCATTCCTTTACTAATAGGTTTCTAGTACTAGATTTGGTCAACTAGGACCAAAGTACATTGGTGGACGAATTCCAAGAGGTAGAGTAAGCTTAACCTCCAGATACAAATAAACTTAAGATCTTTGTGGTTTTTTGACAATCTGTCTTAAATTTGATTCTTGTTCAACAGGGATAGAAGATCATATATGGCTTGACTAATACATTGAGAAGATCATTTTATTCATGTTTAAGTTTTTCTTGGAGAGATGTTAAAGTAGAGTTTATAAACACAAATGCTACAGGGACCAGACTTGTAACACAAAGTGGGAAAGTAAGCCAGGCACAAGATAGTAGGAAGATGGTGGGATTAAAAATGGTCGGACCTGTTTAAGTATATTTACATAATGTTTTTATAATGCTTTGCAGCCTGGAGGCAGCTGTTTTGAAACTCTTATATTAAAGAATGGTACCAAACCCAAACCAAACTCATTGCTGTTGAATCGATTCTGACTCATAACAGCCCTATAGGATAGAGTAGAACTGCCCCATAGGGTTTCAAAGACTATAAATCCTTATAGAAACAGAATGCCTCATCTTTCTCTTGCTGAGTCACTAGTGGGCCTTTTAGTTAGAACCAAATGCTTTAGCCACTGGCCCAAAATGTGAGCCTTAGAATCATTCCAAAGTGTCAAAGTGCTCTTGGAAAAACAGCAAACAGTTATTTGGTCCAGACCACCTTCCTTCTCTGTTCACCTTTCTGTCTCTATGCCTCCCATCACACATCTCTGCTCTTCTATCTCAGTTACCCTCTAGGTGAACAGGAATTTCCCCTGAGACTGTATAGTTAGGTGCCCAGGACCACAAAGTCTACTGTATAGAAACAAACCTATATGGTCCATACTCATAACTTTTTGCAATGCCAAGCCCAGTGTTCATTTTCAGCCTATTGTTGTTGTTGTTGTTGTTTGTTTTTTATTCCAGCAAAGTTTGGGAAACTAATGAATGTCATTAAGACCACCAGTTTTTGTTTGGATGATTCTATTAAGATTTTGTTTGATGATCTTGGAATTCAAGCCTGTATCTCTTTTATAGCACCAATCACTGTCTCCTTCTAGGGTGAAGCAGGATAGTCTAGCAGGATAGTCTTATGGTTAAAATCAGGTTTCACTGCAAAGCAGACTTTGGATTGAAGCCACATATCACCAGTTACTGAAATAATGAAATAATGAATAAGTTTCTTACACTTTTGTTTCACTTCTGAAAAATAGGGATATTAATTGAAATTGGTATGACATTTTAGGAGCTCTGGTAGCGTAGTGCCTAAGGCACTTGACTGCTTACCAGAAGCTGGCAGTTCAAACCTATCAGCCACTCCTTGGAAGGAAGATTGGGCAATCTTCTTCTGTGGTGATACTGCCCTGGAAACCCAAGGGGGGTCGCTATGAGTGAGGTCCAACTCGACGGCACATAACAACAACATGACATCTTAGAAAAATTATGAATACTTAGCACAATGCCTAGGATACAGCAAGGGCTTAATAGGTGGTAAGAAACTTTGGTGGTGTAGTGGATAAGGCATTTGGCTGCTAACCAGAAGGTCAGCAGTTCCAATCCACCAGCCACTCTGCGGAAGGAAGATGGGGCGATCTACTTCTATAAACATTCAGAGCCTTGGAAACCCAGTGGGGGTCTTTATGAGTCAGAGTCGACTCGATGGTAGTGAGTTTGGAGTTTGATTTGGTTTTGGTTTAATAAATGGTGGTGATCAGGATTGAATATATATCTGTCTTCTCCAGATACATGGTAGTGAGCTTTTGGAGGGTAGGACCAGTATCTGATTCCTATGTGTGTTATACCCAATGCCCTATACATGGCTATATAATGTGTTTGTTGAAGTGACTCCTAAAAAAAATGGTTCATAAGAACTGCCTAATTTCCTTTCCTTGCTCTCCTGATCAGCCTTCTATCTTAATTTCACTCCAAAGAGGAGAATATATGTCTTTAGAAGATATAATTAAGTAGAATGGATAAAAGCATAGTGTCTAAGGTATTTGACTGCTAACCAGAAGGCTGGGAGTTCAAACCCACCAGCCACTCCTCGGAAGGAAGGTGGGGCAATCTACTTCTGTAGTGATACTGCCTCTGAAACCCAAGGAGGGGTTGCTATGAGTCAGATCCGACTCCACAGCAGTGAGTAGCAAGAGTAGCAAGAGGTGATTGTCTAGATAAATTGGAAAATCCCACCTCAAATTCTATTTGTTTGGGAAATGAATGAATGGATGGTTAGGAATCTTTTCTTAAGGACTACTCATAGATTATCAGAAGAGTGGCCCAATTATAAGACTCCCAAAGGATGGTGTACAGAGAAGTGAACCTGTTTCTCATCTGTGAAATGGTGGTAATACTGCCTCTCTTAGTTAGTTCTATCAATTCAATTAGATAAAATTTTGTAAACCACTATGCCTGTAATAGGAGCTCTGGTGGTGTAGTGCCTAGGGCATTTGACTGCTAACCAGAAGGCTGGCAGTTCAAACACACCAGCCCTCCTCGGAAGGAAGATTGAGCAATCTACTTCTGTAGAGATACCGCCTCAGAAACCCAAGGAGGAGTCTCTATGAGTCAAATCAACTCCATGGCAGTGAGTTTGGTTTTTGTTTGGTTTATGGCTGTAATTTACAAAAATACTCGATTATCTGCTGCTGTTATTGTTAACATTATCATTGGCATTATTGTTAACATATCAGATAACAGGTGAATTTGGCAGTCCTGTACAAGCAGCCCAGTTGTCAGTGAGTGTATGTGCACATGCACACATACTGCTAACCGTAATTCACTTCCTTTCATGTAAGGTAGAAACATTTAATTGCGTATTGTAACAAATAAAATAACTTGCCTTTATTTCTGTGTGGTGTGTATATGTGTTTAATGGAGGGTACATTTTTTTTTTTAATTCAAAAATAAAAATTTAAGGCATTTAAAAGTTATTTTTTAAATTCTTTGTTTTATTAGTAAAGTCTATTTTATTTTATAAATTGAAATTTGCTAATCACGTTATAAACATAAAATAAATAAGCAAGTTTATCAGACCAGTTGGTTAACTCTATAGGTATGCATCACTTAATGTCCATGATAGGATACATTCTGTGAAATAGG